CAGCCCAGATGATGGGGGCCAATGCCACCGCGGACAACTTCTGACAGCAGAGGACAGAGCGGGCTGGAAGTGTGTCCCCCCAACCCCGGTTCTTAAGCAAATCCTGGCTCCGTCTCTGCAGCCACGTGCACGCGTGACCGGGCTGGAATGAGAAGCTCATGTGGCACCAGATCCGGCTGGTCTGAGCTCTGGGAGGAGGAAGACAGAGCCTGCCCGGTGCCTCCACAGCAGCCCTGGGCTGTCAGCACTGAGCCCCTCCAAGACCCCAGCCCCGTGCAGTGCTGGATTAGTGTGATCCAGGCCTCCCTGATCGCCTCGGAGCCGATCCGGACACAAATCCTGCTGAGGGGAGGAAGGTGCTGCCCACTCGGAGCCAGGGGCACCCCAGGGCCCTATCCCGCCACCAGGGCCTCTGCCCTGCCCCCACAACCGCCCACCGGGGCCTCCACCCTGCCCCCCCACCCCGGGCCTCAGCCCTAACCCCCGGGCGGCATCGGGCAGACCCTGAGCAGACACCTCTCACACACACCCCCACGTGGGACCCCACGTGGGGCCACCTCGACCTGCACAGGGTCAAGTGAGAGGACACGCATGCAGCAGCCCCCACAAACCTGCAACGGTCAGAACATCCCAGGGAGACCGTCCCCTCTGTCCCACACTAGGAGTGGGACACTAGGTGATCACCTCCCCTCTCCAGGCTGGAAGCCCCCTTCGTGAACACAGACTCACCCCCGCGTTGCAAACCAGGGAGAGGGAGGGGTGCCGTCGGGTTGGGTGAGAATGGAGAACAGGAGTGCCGACAGCAGGAGCAACCCGCAGACCAGGTCCAGGGACAGGACCAGGCCCTCAGCACCGCATGGGGGCAGGGGCAGCCTGCCAGGTACCTGGCCTCCATCGTCAAATGAGGACCCGCACCCCTGTGAGGCAGGTGGGTGAGGCCGGTCACTAGGAGGAGGAGGCACTGCCATGGCCCCCTGAGGATGGGTCAGGGCTCCAGACCACCCACCCTCCTCCCCTTCCCTCCCCCAGGCACACCTGCCCCGTCCAGTCCAGCCTCCAGGCAGGAGCCGCCCCACACACCCGGTGATCAGCAAGCGTCCCCACACAGGCCTCCAGGCAGAGCTCCGCTCCCCACCCCCCGCCCCAGCCAGGCCACCCTCCAGCAACACAGGGCAGGGGGGCTCGGGGCTCTGGGGACCGCAGCAGAGCTCCTGAGCTGGGGGCCCAGGCAGCCGCCAGACCCTGCAGGAAGCAATGCTACCCTCTGAGGCCATTCTCCGTCCCCCACGGCTCCCTCCACCCGCACCCCTGCTCTGGCCGTCCTCCCACTGCAGTCAGGTCTGACTGGACCTCTGCGGGGCTGAGCCCAGCACCAGGCACAGACGCCCTCACTGCCACCTTCCCACAGGACACCGCTGGGAGGGTCTGGGTCCTCACGTCAAAGACAGGGACAGCCGCGTCACTCTGCATGTCACACAGCCAGGAGGGGACAGGCTGCCCCCCGCCCCCCCGCCATGCCCCACTGCTGCAGCCTGTCAGCGCATGGTTCCAGGGCTGAGCTGGCCAGGGCACCAGGCTACAGACACGGTGGGGTGCCAGGGAGTGCGGTGGGGGGTGGGGGGAGGCCACCGTGGGGCGTGGGGGGGCACACTAAGGGGGGGCTCTGGAGTAGAAAAGGCAGGCCATGCTGGACAGCAGGATGGCCCATGCATCCCTCGGGGTGCCCTGCTTCATGAGCCTCCAGACATGTACCCAAGCATTGCCCCTGGGGCTATCACCCCGGGCACAGGATACGGCAGGCAGTCGAGGTGTTTCTGGGGGAGGGAGCTGAGGAGCAGCCCCTGAGGGAGGTGGCACTGGGGAAGAGATGCCCGTGTGAAGGTGGAAAAGTGAGAGGTGAGGGGTTGGCATGCACCCCACACACCCGGGCAGGGCCACCCGCCCGCCTCTGCTTTCTGCCCCCAAGGTCCGCCAGTCCTGGTTCGGGGCACCCAGCCCACTGCAGCCTCCAGGACCCCCATGACCACTCTCCTGGCGTCTCCCAGGCCCCGTGCAGGCCCTCCCTATGCTTTAGTGAGGCCGAAGCCCACAGGGCCCCTCACAGATGCCAGTGTGGCAGACAGACAGGGGAGAGCTTGTCTGCACTTCGACCACCACGGGACTCCAGCCTGTTGTGAGAGGCAGGCAGCGCGGTCCAGCCCCATGCCCGCTCGGAGGAGCTGGGAGCACCGGAGCACCAGAGCTGGGGAGCCGTCCACGTCCAGCCCAGAAGGAGCCTCTCTGCCCGCTGTGTGCACAGCCCAGCAGCAGCCAGGTGTGGGCCGAGCCCCACCACCCTGATGCTGTGCCCGGGGCCCTACAAACCGGAGCCAGGCCTGTCCCACAGCGTGTTCATGAGGCTGAGGGGACAGGCCCCTGGCCACAGGCACACTGCTCACACAGGGCTTCTGGAACACCCATCCCTCCATTCCACAGCAGCCAGGGTGACACCCCCAAGAGACAGACAGGTAGACAAGGTCCCGCGGCCACTGAGCTTCACTCCACAGGGGAGAGAGTTCTCCAACCTGACCACCTCAGCCAACTGGGGAGCCCATGACGGTGCCCAAGGCGGGGTCCCCTCAGAGTCCTGACACAAATGCCAAACAAAGCCCACACGTATCTGGCGCAAGGCGAGACGATCAGGCTCAACTCTGTGAGGATCTTAGGCCGCTAGATGTATTCACCTTGAAGGAATGTCCTCTCTCCCGAAATCAGAGCCCACCCGCTTCTGTCATACCGAAATGCCTTGTCTTCTGCAAAGTTAGGGCAATAATGGATTGTAGTGAACCTTTTTTAGTCCTTCCTTGACAAAATAAAAAAGCCACTGACTGTCAACGTGGAGAAAACCCAGAGTTGGCAGCTTATGCTAGCCTCAGTCATTTAAAAATGCTAACAATCCATGATATGCACAAATTCCACCATGAAAGGGGTCCTGGAAGGCCCGAGGCCTGCAGCCTAATGAGGAGCTACCCCGCAGAGGGGCTCTGGTGGGAACGGGGTTCTGGTTGGGGGGGGACAGGAAGGTGCCAAAGCCAGAGCTGCTGGATCTGAAAGCTGAGGTCGATGGGGCAGGAACGGGGGCAGTGGTCCCAGCCACACTCCATCACACGGGCAGGCCCGGCGTCGGGCAGGAAGGTGCAGGAGCTGGCTCTCCTCTCCAGGCCCACACCAGTGACCCCAGCCTCCAGCCAGCTGGGCAAGGCAGCCCTGGAAACACACTCAGGGGCCAGGGCCCTGAGAATGCCAGCCACTCAACCTGGGGGACACCGCTCCAGGGACCCAACCTGGAAACAGGCACGAATAGAAGGATCCACCACAGCACTGTTCCCGCTAATCACCCAGGTTCAACAGTGTCCTCCGCAGCTCTGAAGAGCGTGTTTCTAGTGTGTAATGAGGGCACACACACCCCAGATTCCTAACGGTAAAAAGCGGGATCCGGAACATTATTCACTGAAATCCAATTCTGCAAAACGCGTAAGGACTTGACAAGAGGCTGGCAGGAAGTACCGAAACGTTAACAGTGGCTCCTCAGACATCCTGTGTGGCCCCATTTCCTATAATGAACATATGCTACTTTCACAATCAGAAAACAATATGTTATTTTAAAAAAATAAATAAAAATAATTAAAAACAGAATGGTACATAAAACCTGCAAAGGATCCTCAGTTGCCTTAAGTTCTGGACCCCCAAACTCAGCAGAAGTGGTCCCAGCTAGCTTGCACGGATGGACAGGAGGAAAGATGGATGGACAGGTAGTGGGTGAGATGGATGGGTGAACCAATGCATGGGTGGGTGGATGGATAGATGGGTGGGTAGGTGGTGGCTGGACAGGGAGACGGGTAGGTAGGTGGGTGGGTAGATGGGTGGGTAGGTGGTGGCTGGACAGGGAGACGGGTAGGTAGGTAGGTGGGTAGATGGGTGGGTAGGTGGTGGCTGGACAGGGAGACGGGTAGGTAGGTGGGTGGGTAGATGGGTGGATGGGTAGATGGATGTCCAGGTGGATAGATGGACAGGTGGGTGGGCATACGGGTAAGGGAATGAATGCACGGGTGGGTGGCTGGATGGACACACAGATGGACAGGGTGATGGATAAATAGATGGAAAGGGGCTGTGGCCTCTCCAACAGACATCAATGCCAAGAAGAGACATGTGGTCTTGGCCACAGCCCACACCCCTCAGAACACATTTGGTCTACCGCCCCACACCATCATCCTTCCCAGGCAGGAGGCTCAGGCTCAAACAACCCAGGGTCCCCTGGAAAGGAGGTGGCAAAGGGAACGAGGGTGTAAATGCAGGTCTCAGGCTCCCCCTCGGTGCTCCCCACCCGGGCCATGCTGGGATCGCCCAGCTTTCTCATGAAGTGTCACCAGGCCCTGGGTAGCAGGGCGTAAACAGAGCTGCCCCCTGCCCCATGCCAGCCAGGCTAGCCCCCCCTGCAGAAATCGCCTTTCTCGCTCCCCATAGACCCAGCTCCTGAGAAGCCTTTCTGTGAGGAGCACAGCCTCATCCTAGGAAAAGGAAAGCCCAACAGGACCCCCACAGGGGCAGAACCAAAACCACAAAGCCCCGCTCCAACCCAGCCTGTGTGTCCACCACCTGCAAGCTGCCTCTGCACACGGTGCACCTTGTCACCTGGTGTGTCCACAGGTGCGTTCACACGTGCGCAGGCCCTGTCAATGAGCTCTGGTGCGTGACACACACATTTGGGCCAAAAAGCACGCAAGCAGACGCATGTCTGCCACCTGAGCAGACACCGGCGTGCATGGGTGTGCCCCATGGAGGGACACGCTGGGTGTGAGCTCAGCCTCAGGCTGCGAGCACGAGCTCGGCTGGCCCTCAGGTGTGTGGGGCGTGCATGTGGTCCTGGCAGGTGTGGGGCTGGTATGTGACAGGCAGGCACACAAGTGGGTGCAGGGCACGCCTGTGCACACCCACGGGCATGTACACGATCACACACTCACAGGCTCTCCCTCAGCTCCTGCATGTCATTCGGCGTCCCCAGGGCCTGGAGGCTCTGCTCCAAGGAGGTCACTGCCAAGAGAAGGGACGGGCATCAGGAGCAGAAGGACCCCCACCGGCTGATCCCCAGACTCCAGGGCACATTCCCCACCCCCAGCAGAGGCAGGGTAAGAAGCCCAAGGACATGGGGGCTGAGGCCAAGGAGACCACAGTGACCGTGAGCAGCCAGGGCCAGGACAGCTGCTGCCACAGCCCAGCCCCAGCCCCACATCGGCCAGCCATGCCCCCAGCAGAGTGTCCCAGGCACAGCCCTCTCCCCAGCCCTTCAGGCACAGGCCCACAGGCACCCTAGGTCTAGAGAGGCGGCTTTTTCTCCTCTCCTGGTCAGCACTCTCCTGCTGACCTGGCAGAGCTCAGGGCTCAGGGGCAAACACCGACCCTGGCCCACAGGGTATGGCGAGCCACCCCCCATCCCCCCGATCTACAGGAGCTAAGGATGGGGTGAGACAGGGCTCTCACTCCTGATCCCAGTGACCTATGAGGCGGCCCATGCGGCCAGTCAGAAGGAGCCTCTGAGGCACCCCTTCCTGGGGGGGCACTTGTCCAGATTGCAGGGAGCGGTGGACACACGGGCCACCGCCGCCCTGCCCTGAGACCACAGTGCTCTCCTGGGCTGCAGGGTGGCTGAGTAAGAGGATGGCCACGGGCACGCCCACCACCCCATGTCACCTCGACCTCCTGTGACGTGCTCAGTGGCCCAAGATGGCCAGGTCGGGGGAGGTGAGACCAGGCCTGGCACAGACTCACCATTGGAGTTGATTCGGAAGATGCTGGCCGACGTCTGCTGGAACAGCTCCTGGAGGTCAGCTGGGTCCACCTGGGTGGCTGGAAGACAGCAGAGGGGAGCACACACGTTCATGGAGCTGCATGCTCTGGGCAGTCACACCCTCCCAGCCTGGGGTCACCCAGAGCGTCAGGGATGGAACGCCAAGCCCACCCCGGGGCACGCAGAGCCATAGGAAAGGGAGGAAAGCAGGGGGCAGCCCCTCAGAAAGGCCCCAGCACCCCCACGCCGGTGCACTCGGGAGAAACAAGAACCCGGTCCCACGTGAGCGCCTGCACACATGCACGTGTGGTCACTGCAGACTTACGAGTCACAGGACAGGAAGGACCCAACAGCCAGCAACCTGTGCTAAAGCAGGGTCCGTGCCCCAATGACACACCACACAGCTAAACCTCTAAAACGTGCCGGCGAAGGAGGCGGGCACGGGCCTCGCGCCATGTGGTTCCACGGACAAGAAGTGCCCAGATCCACAGGGATAGAAAGCAGATCCACGGTGGCCAGGGGCTGGGCCAGGGGACTGTGCGGTTTCTTTGGGGATAACACAAGGTTCCGGGTCATTCGTGGTGACGGCTGCACACACCGTTGCAGATATTAAAAACCACTGAAGTGTACATTTTAAGATGGTGAACACGGCGAATTTTACACTGTGTGAATTTTAACTCAACTTAAAAAACTCTACTGAACATTGTGTGGACACCCCCAAGTCCTGGAGGGACGGGAAGGCCACAACAGCAAGGTCTGCCTCCCTTAAAGGACGCGGCCCTGCCCTTCCCATGGCTCTGCCCACCCTGGGTATCCACGCAGAGAAACACAAAGAGGCCCACAAAAAGCTGGCGCAAGACGCTCACAGTGGCTTCATACCAAAACCCGGAAAGGGTGCCACTGGCCACCAACAGAATACACAGGACCCTTCACGTGACAGAGCCACAAAGAGGAAGGACTCACATGCGTGTCTACACGGCCCACCCCGGCCTCCGGGAAAGCAGGCGCCCTAGCCTGGATGGGCCAGAGCTGGGCAGGTCTCCAGGCAATCGACAGGGATTTGTCCATGATGACAAGGGTCGGGGTCGGAGGGGGCAGCGGCCTGGACCAGAGTGGGAGCCACGGCCTCTGGGCCCCCACCCCCGGCTGTGCAGCCTCACAGCCTCACCTACGCAATGGGGAGGCTGGGGGTAGTTTTCTACGTACTCCTGGCCCCTGGCCTCAGTATGAAATGAGAAGAGGAAGTACATGGCTCCAGGAATCTTATCCTCCAAGTCTACGTGTAGATGATTCTAGAAGCCGGTTACATTGGGGAAGTTGCCGCCCATCCTCCCTTCTCAAAGCTGTCTTTCTCTGGACATCTCTGGAAGCCCGCCCACAGGCTCTCCCTGCCGGCCAGCCCTCCTGGGTCCCCCCCCCCCCTCCCAGGACCCTGTGTACTCCTGACCCCGTGGGGTGTGCATCTTTCCAGAGGACACCGGCTTACTGGCTTTGAGACATTCTGTCTCGGATCCAGGGCTGAAGCAGCTGAGCTCAGAGAGGTGGAGAAAGTGGCCCAGGAAAGGGCAGAGGTGGGGCGGGGATGGCAGCCTTTACAAAGGTGGAGAGCTCCACCCCGCAGGGCAGGGCGGCTGATGGTCTCAGCGGGGGAGACGCAGATGCAGCTCTCCAGCCCCTGCTCCAAGCGCCAGGCCGTGCAGGGCCCTCGGGGAGCAGGCCCCTTACTGGCTGCAGTGCGGGGGGCAGGTGCCTGAGAGCAGCCTGGGAGGCCCCCCAGCACAGCGGCCCCCAGCCCGGTCACAGCAGCAGGTGCAGCCGTCTACGACGCCACCGCCACCAGCCCCGGGGCGTCTGGTGCACCCCCAATATGCTGTGGGCGGGCATGGAACCCGGGGCAGGGGCTGTCAGCCATACTGCAGACCCACGGGGCGTGGGGGGTGCAAATGTCCCAGCCCAGCAGCAAGGACGGCAAGGCCACCACCCACACAGCCTTCCGCCCCCATGGAAGTCTGGGGGAGGCCGTGGGGGCTCCCACCTCAGCGGCGACGATGCCCAGCAATGCCGGCTGAGGCCTGTCCCCTAGGATCCGGTGTCTCCTCATTCCTCGTACCTGGCCACGCAGCTCAGACACTCCCCTGCAGCCAGAGGGCCCGCGGGACCCGATTCTCACCTGGAGTTAGGGCGTCCAAGTGCAGTTTCCCCTCGTGTTCTTACAAGGAAGCTGCTGGCCCGGGACGGCCTCACCCCCTTCCCCGCTGGGATGCCATGGGGTGCAACCTCCGACCAGGGGCACCCGCGAGGGGACGGAGCCACAGCTGGGGGAGCCCTGGTGGCGGCAGGAGGAGTCTGAGGCTTAACCCCTCTTTACTACCACAGGAATGCAGCAGGACAGAGGAGGGGCCGGAAACTTGACAGATGCCCACGTCCACAAACACGCTGCTGGGGCCGCTGGGGGGGTCGGGCTCCCTGGGACTGTGCGCCCAGACCTCACATCCAAGTGGCCCGCTGTCAGACAGGGCAGGCAGTGAGACGGTGACCGCATGCACAACATTAGCAGGGCCTCTGCACGCAGCCCAGGGGACCCACTCAGGGCCAGAATCCAGGCGGGCAGGGCAGGACGATGAGGTCAGAGCCTTGGGGAAGAGGTGGCAGGGCTGTGGGAGGCTGAACTTGCAGGAGCGGAGGGAGAGGGAGGACATCATATCCCTTAGGCCCAGATGTCCAGTGGGCACGACTGGGGTGGGAGGGGGCCAGCCACCAGCACGGGAGACACACAGGAGAAACAGGCAAGGGAAGACGCAAGAAGGTCACTGTGGTCAGCAGCGGGTCAGCTATGGGCCATGTGGGGCAACTCTCAGGTCAGAGGTATGTGCTGGCCAATGGACTACAGAAATTAAGACCAAAAAAAAATAAGCCAACTTCTCCTAGAATCACAATGCAGGGTGCCTGATAGTACTTCAGCTTCTGTCGTAAGGGAACAGGGCCCAGGATTACTGTCCCCTGAAAACGGCTAAAACTGCATGAAAGATGGAAAATGATGTTCTGATCCCGGACAAACTGTCACAGCCCTGGGAAAGCATCACCCCGGCTGTTTCCCAGGAGCGAGGCCAGACCGTGGAGCAGCGAGGGCGGGCCGGAGCGGGGCTGGCGTCACTGGGTCCGGAGGCGGACCCCAGGGCCTGGCAGGTCCAGCAGCTGCCCTGGGGGCAGGAGACAGAGGGGAGACGATGAGGCAGAAGGGGCTCCAGGAGCCTGTCCCGTCCCCTGGTCTCCAGCCAAACCCATGTCTGTGCCTGCACGGAAAAAGACGCCCCTCGGCTTAGGGCACAGGGGTCACGAGGGAGCTGCAGGCACCTCCTCACCCAGCAGGGTCGGTGTGAGTCAGGGGCAGGAGAAGGGGAGGAGCTCTGAGCACCCGCGGCGTCCAGCAGTGACAGCACAGGCCGTGCCTCCGGAGGGCGGGGAGTGTCATGGTGGCAGCTACTTCAGAAGTGCCCTAAAAGATGTTTATCACAAGCCCTAAGAGATCACAGTGACCCACAAGTAAGTTCACTGCCCCTGGAACAAAGTCTAATCCTCCTCAAGTAAAACAACCAAACCCAGCACAAAAGCACCCAAAATTCACAATTAAAACTTACCGGACATAAGAAGAAGCAGGAACACGTACGTGACCCCTAACCATGAGAAAAATCAGCCAACATAAAATCAGACCCAGAAACGAGAGAGAGGACTTAGTGGAGAAGAGCATTCATCAACGTTACAACAGCGCTGAGGGACATGAAGGGGCACGTCTACCCAGCAAGGAGAGACCAAAGATGTGGAAAAGCCACAGAGGCCCTTGTGAAGGGCCCCCCTGCTTGGGGTCAGCAGCAGATGTGATGCTGCAGGGCACAGGGGAGTGGATTCGAGGAGAGCACGGTGGCCAAGCCATAGGGACCTCAGGGTGATACCCAGCAGCCCGGCAGGGGAAGGGGAGCCACAGACGGGCCACAAACAAGGAGAAGTTCAAGAAATAAGGACCAAAAGTATCCAAATTTTACACAATTAAAAACTGAGAGTTTCATGGAGAATTTCATAAAGTCCCAAACAGAGTAAATACCAAAAATTCAGACCCCAAGGCACAGTAGTCAAAACTGCAGGAAGCCTGCGGGGAAGAGGACACTTCCGAAGGGGACAGAGGAGCACCACAGCACCACAGAACGCAATACAGGGGACGCTTCGCCCAAAGACGCCGCAGCAACAGCAGCAAAGTGCCAAAAGAAGGGGAAAAAATCTTTCAACCAGAATTCCATACCCAGCAGAAATGTATTTCAAAAACAGAAGAAAAGTAAGGATTTATTTTAGACAAAAAAGCTGAGAGACTCTGTCCCAGCCAGATGTGCAGCCCAGGAAGCGTTACAAGAAATCGGTCAGGTCAAAAGAAACAATAAAAGGAAATGTGGATCTGCATGAGAAGCCAGAGTGAGGGAGGGCAGGCGTCAAGGCAAATAAAACAGACACCTTGTCTCATTTTAAATTTATCTCAGAGAACACTGATTATTAAAGTGAAAGCCACGGGGCGCCTGGGTGGCTCAGTCATTAAGCGTCTGCCTTCGGCTCAGGTCATGATCCCAGGGTTCTGGGATCGAGTCCTGTGTCGGGCTCCATGCTCTGCAGGGAGCCTGCTTCTCCCTCTCCCTCTGCCTGCTTCTTCCCCCTTGTGCACTCTCTGTCAAAAATAAATAAAATCTTTAAATAAATAAATAAAGTGAAAGCCATAAGAGGCCCGCTAGCAATAACACACCGTCCCGAAGGGAAGCGGGAGTAGGCCGTGTGAGGCTCCCACGTCACACGCCGAGTGCCTGAGCAGGACCCGAGGGCACGCCATCAGGAGCTCAGGTGGACACCAGAGACTCCAAAGCAGCCGCTAAAACACAAAATGAGCAGGTATCGCTGATGAGCCACGAGTGGGGGCAAAATGGAATAATAAACAACATTCAATTCCTCCAAAAACACAAAGGAAGAAAGAAAGGAAAAGAAAGAAAGGGAGATACAGACTGCGAACATGAAGATGGGAGAT